TTATTATTATTATTATTATTATTATTATTATTATTATTATTATTATTATTATTATTATTATTATTAGTCTTTTATTCAAGTCTGCTTTTGGTCTGGAGTGCTTATGTTTTTCTCTTTGGTAGCTTTTGAAAGTTCTGCTACTTATCATGCACCTCAACTGTAGTATTAGATATTAAGTAAGGTTTGGTTGTACTTTAATGTAATGTTAGACCATTGGTGGTTCAAATATGAGCCTCAGAGTGTGTATTCTCTTTTAAAATCTAGATTGAACGCTTTTACTTTCTTTCCCCCCAAAAAATCTCAGTCTTTTTGCTACAGAAAGGAAGGTACAAAAATTGGTTAAATAGGATTAACAAATCACAAACTTGCATATGAATATACAGTAGGCCAACATTAAAGGGAAAAAGAATGACATTACCATAGGTGTATACTACAGGCCACCCAAAGACGCAGAGGAAATAGGCAAACTGTCAGCTTGGAAGCCATTTTTCTTTGCCTGGCAATTTGGGAGGGGGACTTCAAGGAGTGGTGAAAGATTAGCCACAACAACATTCCTTTCTCAGAAAATCAAGGACATGTTACCCTACACCTGGAGGGAAGTGCCTGGGGGTAGTCTCCAGCTGGACCAAAATAATGATTGGACCATGTGATGGATGGTTGGGTGCAGCAGTTGGATTTTGGGTTTTCTTTGGGCTATGGAAAACCCAGAATTCTCAGATTTGGAATTCTCAAATTCAAATTCTCAGATTCTCAGATGAGCCAATACGACATCTCTAATAAAGTGGATCTTTGGGAAGATTATATTCTTGGAGACTCTTTCTTGGAGGTTGCTACTTGAAACGCTGACACAAACCTTTGGTAATCAGTTAACCCAACATAAGTAGGAAGCACCAAAACAGCAATGGGGGACTTTAACTACTTTGACATCAACTAGGAACCAATCTCTGCATAAGTGGGAGATCTGATTCCTGACTTCACCCAAAAGGTGGAGGAAGCAACTAGAAGGATGTAGCTGCTTTCTATATCCCTACCAACAGAGAAGTAGTGATAGAGGGGATTTAAACTGTAGGAACTTCAGGTGAGAGTGACCATGTCATATTAGAATTCAGATATAACATACAAGCAACAGAACATAATCAAACCAATGTTGTAGACCAGAGGTCCTCACACACACACCCCGGTCTGCGGCATGCCAGAAACTGGGCCATGCAAACAAGTGAAATGGGATGCAGACACCTGTGGGATGCAGGCAGCACACAAAACCATGCTCCCTCTGATCCATAGAAAAACCTCTCTCCATGGAACTGGTCCATGATGCCTAACAGTGAGTAAAGAAATGGAGGACTCCTTGATCCTAGTGGAAACTAAAGATGAGGACTTGGCACTAGTGATGGCAGAAATTTTGGGCAAAGCACTAGACAGAGATAAGAAGGAAATGTTAAAGGAAATGGATGACGTATACAGGATTAGTACAAGCTACGCAAGAAAAAACAAACTTCCAAAAGAGGTCCACATCCATTTTACAAGGAGGAAAGTTTGAGACATAATATATAACATATCCAGAGAAGAACCAATAGTATACAAAAGAAAGGAGATCCAGATTCTCAAACAAATCCTGAGAAGAGTAAGGAAGCAGAGAAGGGACTATAAATTTTTGGCTACACAGTTGAACAAGCGAGATATTCTATTACATTGGCTGATTCCAGAAGGAATGCTGGTTACTTGGGAAGAAAGGAAGATCAAAATAGACACTCTGGAAAAAGCACAAGAATTGTATGAGCAACTGGCTGGCTCGGAGGATCAAAGCAGCAAAGAAGATCTAGACTCAAAATCTCAAGAAGAACAAGACCAACAAAAAAAATAAAGACGAAGAATAAGAAGTAAAAAATAATAATCAGCAGCATCAGGAAAGAGGAGACCCTAAACCAATGAACAGAACACAAAGGGAAATAAGAGCGATCAGGAGACAAAACACTAGATACAATTAGGATTATGGAAAAAGAGGTGAAACTTTTATCTGTTAACATAAATGGCTTAAACTCAATGACAAAAAGAAAAAGGATTTTGGCAAAGTTAATAAAACAAAATGCAGATATTACATGTCTACAAGAAACACACATCCTAAAAACAGATGAAAAATATTTAGATTGCCCCAAATTAGGGACACTGTTTACAGCTGCGGCAGACCATGAAAAAAAGAAAGGAATAGCTGTTTACATCAAAGAAGAGAGAAAGGCAAACTTAATATTTGCAGACCCCAAAGGAAGAATTCTGGCAATAGAAATACAGATAATTTTTTTAAAAAATTATTAGTGGTAATTTATGCCCCCAATGACAATCAAAAATAATTTTATAAAGCCCTATATGATAAAATTATTGAATTGGAAAGGAAAAATTTGCATCATAAGAGATTATAATGCTATAGCAGACTATCAAAAAGACTACAAGGGGGGAAATAAGAAAAGAGGGGGGAAAAGAGAACTACCTAAAATATGTGTAGAAATGATCAAAGAATTAAATTTAATAGATATATGGAAAAAACTAAATCTAGAAAAGAGACAATTTACCTTCTATTCAAATCCCCATCAGTCATGGTCACGTATTGACATGGCTTGGATGAGCGGAGAGTTAGCAGAAGAAGTGGCAGATGTAGAAATTTTATCGAACTCTTGGGCAGATCACAACCTGCTCAGAATTAGTTGGAAAGGTAGAAAAAAATCAAGGAGCAGATGGACTCTAGACTCTCAATTATTAAAATATGAGGAATTTATTAAGAAACTCAAGGAAGAACTAAATTTCTTTTTTAAAGAAAATAATGATCAATATACACTATCCAAAACTTATGGGATACTATGAAAGCTGTTATATGGGGAATTATAATATCCTATGTTGCAAAAAAATATATATATGCCCAACAGAACAATCTACACCAAACAATTAAGAAATTAGAGACTAAATTACAGAATACCCCACAAAATGCTCAACAAGAACAATTGATTCTTTACAAACACAAACTTAACTTAGCTGAACAGGAAGAATTAGTTAGAAATTTGAAGGCAACCAAGCAAATATATTTCAAACAAGCAAACAAGCCGGGAAGATGGCTGTCTTACAAGCTTAAAAAAGAGAAAGAGAAAAGAATCATCTACTAATTACAGGATGAAAATGGAGATTATCAACACACAATAGAGAAGAAAAAAGAGATTGCACATAAATATTTTGAGAATCTGTACAAGAAAGAAAGAGTAGATGTGGATCAGATTAAGGGAGTATCTAAGAGAAAAAAGAACTTGAGAAATAAAAGATGAACTGAAAGAAACCTTGATTAAAGACATAACTATGATAGAACTAAATCAAGTAATTAGATCCCAGAAAAGTAACAAAACGCCAGGCCCTGATGGTTTTCCAGTAGAATTTTATAAAGCAATAGAAGAACAAGTAGGACCAATAATGATTGACTTATATAACGAGGTATTAACATCAGCTAAGATGCCAGATACATGGAGGTAGGCACTAATTTAGCTAATCCCGAAGGGGACACAGATGCAGGATTGATACAAAATTATAGACCAATTTCTTTGTTAAACGTAGATTACAAAATATTCACCACTATTATTGCTAACAGATTAAAGAAAATTTTGAATGATTATATACACTCAGATCAAAATGGATTTCTCCCAAACAGGCAAATCAGAAACAATTTAAGAATAATAATGGATAATATAATAATGGAAGCTCATACTACAAAGAGAATACTATGAAGAGAAATAAGTAGCCTTTGTTTTCTTGGATGCCCAAAAGGCATTCGATAACCTTAATTGGCAATTTATGATTCAACAAATTTATGATATAAATTTTGGCACCAAATTTGAGAATATTATAACAACAATTTATTCGGTACAAAAAGCAAATATTATAATTAATGGGGAAAACACCCAAACTTTAAAAATAGAGAAAGGAATTTGACAAGGTTGTCCTCTATCTCCTCTGCTCTTTATATTGTCATTAGAAGTACTATTAGAATGAATCAGGCAAAACCCAGAAATAAAAAGATTAAAAACCAGAAATGAAGAATATAAACTGCAAGCATTTGCAGACGATATGGCTTTTATCATTGAAGAACCAATAGAGAGAGGACAAACATTAATTAAGGAATTAGAAAGATATGGAGCTGTGGCAGGATTGAAAATTAATAGACAGAAAATGAAACTTTTAGCGAAAAATTTAACAGAACTACAAACAACAGAATTGGAAAAAGCAATTGGACTTCAAACAACAAGAAAAATCAAATATTTAGGTATATGGCTGATAGCACACTGCAAGGCGATAAAGGAGAACAACTATAACAAATTATTACAGCAAATAAAAAAAAGACTTAGAATTATGGACTAAAATGCAATTATCATTGTTAGGAAGAATAGCAGCCATAAAAACGTCTATACTACCAAAATTTCTTTATCTGTTCTAGACCATTCCAGTTAAATTAGAAAAGACCTTTTTCAATGATCTCAACAAAGCAATAGCAAAATATATTTGGCAGGGTAAAAAAGCCAGAATAAAAATGAAGTTATTACAAGATATAAAGAGCAGAGGATGTTTTGGATTGCCAAACTGGGAATTATATTACAGAGCAGCAATATTAGTTTGGTTGGATTGGATTAATTTAAAGATTGGATTAATTTAAAGAACAAAAGAATACTAGCTATAGACGGTCATGACCTGCAGAGAGGATGGCATGCCTTTTTGTGGAAAACAGGACCCACTAAGCAACACTTCCATAGACATTTGATTAGAGATTCGTTAATAAATAATTGGATTAAAGTTAAAAAGAAACATTACATAAAAATCCCAATTTGGCTGTCCACAATGGAAGCGATGATCCACCCAAACAATTTAGATTTGAACAAAATGTTAAAATATAAAGACCTATTAGATATTCACGGAAATTTAAAAACAATGCAAGACCTCCAAAACAAGGGCTACAAGTTGACTGGTGGGTGTATCTCCAATTACAAAACCGATACAAAAAAGATATAAAGGATCATGGAATATACCTGAAACCACAACAATTAGACAAAATTCTATTAGGACCAGATTTTTAAAAAATCACTAAAATTTACAAATATCTTCTGGAAGTAGAACTGGAGGAAAAAGTAGTGAAAGGATGTATGACTGCATGGGGTCAAAACATTGGACACAGTATAAAATTATCAGATTGGGAGAGCATATGGAACAGAAACCACAAAATAACAAAATCAGTAGCATATAAAGAAAACGCATATAAAATGTTCTACAGGTGGCACTTACCCCCTTTGAGATTAGCAAAAATGTACCCTAAAATGAGTCCTGTATGTTGGAAATGTAAAAAAAAAAAAGGGGGGGGGGACATACTACCATATGTGATGGTCCTGCTTAGAGGCTCGAAAATATTGGCTTAAAATCAAAGGTTGACTACAGGAAATTACTAACAATCAATTAGATCTAGAGCCGGAACTCTTCTTATTCAGGATCTTCCAAAAAATATGTAAAGAGTACAAAATATTTACTATTACACATATTAACTGCTGCCAGGAATGCCTTTGCACAATGTTGGAAACAGCTATGCATACTCTCAGAGAAACTTGTTATACAAAAAGTTATGAACTGCGCAGAAATGGATAAGTTAACGTTGAGCTTAAAAGATAAAGAGACATCGATATTTTATAAAGTGTGGGAACAATGGTATAACTGGATAGAACGGAGATAGATTAAAGATAGATAGTTACTAACCATAAGTAACAGATAAAATAAGAATTTAATTATGCATAACTTAATATCTGTAAATAACGCACAAATTGCCATAAGAGAATCACTACAAATTGCTGTTGTTGAGTGATACATTTTTTCTTTTTTATGTTTTTAATGTAATAAAAGTTTACTAAGGTGTATTTAAAAAATAATAATAATTGCAACATTGTGGTGCCGTGGCACTTTAAAAAAACAATTGCAGAAAAAACCCTTGCAAACCCATGGTAGCAGTACTTTTTTTAAAAAAAAACTTGCCCTGCACAGTGCCACAGCCAAACTGCCATTTGGCATTTAGTCTGAAGCCAAGGGGCAGAGGAAATGGTGGCGATAAGGGGGTCAAAATGGGAAGCACCTTGCTTAGTGCTGATGCTGCTGTTGTGCTGCTGTTGTTCTGCTGTCTGACAGGCTGCTTGCTTGCTTCCCATCTGGCACAGCTCAAGGCAAGGAGGCAACAGTGGCAGATGTCAAAATAGGAAGCCCCTGCCTGCCACTGCCCCATCTCCCACTGCAGCCAAATTGCTGGTTCAGCATTCAGGCTGGAGCCTACCTACCACCCTGACACCCTGCTCGCTTGCCCACCCACCCTCTATCCAGCACCACTCCCATCACTGCCACCCTCTGACAACCCACTCGCTCACTCACTCACTCACTCACCCAGCTCTCCATCTGTCGCCCGCAGCAAGTTATCCCCGCAGTGAATTTCTGATGTTGAGATATCCTGCAAAGAAATGATGGCAGCAATAGCAATATGGTAGCACTTAGACTTGTATACTGATTCACAGTGCTTTACAACCTTCTCTAAGCAGTTTACAGAGTCAACATATTGCCCCCAACAATCTGGGTCCTCATTTTACCGACCTCAGAAGGATAGAAGGCTGAGTCAACCTTGAGCTGGTGAGACCAGAACTGTCAAACTGCTGGCAGCCAGTGATCAGCAGAAGTAGCCTGCAGTACTGCATTCTAACCACTGCACCGCTGCAGCAGTTGGCAGAGGGGACTTGGTGGTGGCAAGGTTGCCCCCAGTTGGCCGCGTTGAGCTAGCAACATCGAGTCATCCCATTCCACATGCAACCATAACCCTTAACTATACATATGTTTGGAAATTGAGAATGAGTTCAATTCCATCCAAGGTTTGGTGTTAACCTTCAACTGTTCAGTCTTGTAGCATAACCTTCATCTCATTCGTATAGGTGAGGCAGGCAGAAATCATCCTTAGCTGCAGCAGTATTATGGCAGACTTTTCCTTCTTATTTTAACAAGGCAAGACTCATCAGGGCATGTTAAGATCATTTAAGTCCCTTCCCAGCCTGTTATTCTATATTTTGCAATGTTCTGCTAGTAAATACCTTGAAAGACCAAAAGATTTCACTTTTGCAGCTTATATTGCACAGGATTCCACTCAGAGTTTAAAAATTAACATCCTGCTATTTTATAGATGAATTTATCTGCATGGTATACAAAATGGAAAATTTAAATTCAGTTCTATCCAGTGTCCATATTTGAAATGTTCAAAGATATTTTAACAAAGAAAATATGTTAAATTTATGTGGAGAAACCTTTACATATTTTCTATATTTGTAAAAATATAGAAAGGGCTGCAAATGAAAAGGCCCCAGAAGAAATGGAGATATTTTCACATTCTTTAATATCTGGTTAAGCCATAAATACTCTAGCTTTATCAGATTTTTTTTCTCTATAGTTCAAAAGATCTTTTCATATACGTAAATAGTGTGTGTGGGGGGGTGTTGCTTGTTGCAAAGAAACCACCACCTTCAGCTCTCTCCTTTTCAAGGGCTACCATTTTTCAGCGGTTTTGTGAAGGCACACTCCAAATTTCAACCATCCCAGGAGCTCAGAGCAGTAGTGAGATTCAATTTTTGTTACTACCGGTTCTGTGGGCGTGACTTGGTGGGCATGGCAGGGGAAGGATACTGTAAAATCTCCAGTCAGAGGTCAGAACCTGCTGAATACCACCTTTGGCTCAGAGGTTGTGAATCACTGTTCTGCCTTCATTCTCCAGTATTTCTGTGCTCCAGGAGCTGCTGGAAAAACGCTTTTGTCCTATCTGAAGAGTTTGCAGAAGCTCTTCTCTACATTTTGGACTGATTTCCTTTGGCGGCTTTCTTCACTTCCAGGAATCAAAGGACTTTTGACTCCTTTATCTGCCAAGTCGGGCATAGACGGAGGTTAGGAGCAGCAAAAATACTGCTTCTCCTATTAAGGGAGGGGGGTTGTTTGAATAGAGCCAAGGGAAGAGGACCCCCTGTGTTTTCAGCCTGCTCACTGGGGTGTGTAGTGTATGTGAGACCAACAGAGTTGGTTCAGCAATATTCAGCAATAGAGTGGTCAATGTCTGGAATACTCTACCCGACTCTGTAGTCTCTTCCCCAAACCCCAAAAACTTTAACCTTAGACTGTCTACCATTGACCTCACCCCTTTCCTAAGAGGTCTGTAGGGGGCGTGCATAAGCGCACCAACGTGCCTACCGTCCCTGTCCTATTGTTTCTCTTATTCTTTTATTTTTCTTATATGTACCCATTTCATGTATTCACAACTATGTATACACTTATACTTATTATCTTGGAAACAATTGACAAATCAAATAAATAAATAAATAAATAAATAAATGTGAGACCAACAGCATCTCACCAAGTTAATCAGGGCTTCACACTCAGCACTAGCCCTGCTTTGCGCGCCAGAGTAGCATCCTGCTTTTGCAAGCTGGGTTCGCCCACATCTCCGCCTCCGGCCGCACCTTGGGAACCTCCGCGCTCGCTGAGCTCCCCTGAGCCGCAACCCACCCGCTCAGCCGCCGCGGGGCAGAGCCTGGGTTGGTCCTCATGCCCACTCCGTGGGGCAGAGCCCATATGCTCTTCGCCCGCACTGCCCCAGTCCCCCGGGACCGGTTTGGGCTGCCCGACCGGCTCCTCCCGGTTGCTGTGCGAGCGACGGTGGCATCGGCGTGGGAATCTCGGAGAGGGTCCCCCAACTGAATCCCGCTGTCCCGACCAAGCCGGCACCGGGTTGACAGGTGTAACCTCGCCCGGCCCTACCCAACCCCGCTTTTCCCAGGCGCGCTCACCGCGGGGCGGGCAGGCGTGCACTAAGGAATCGGCCGCGGACGAGCGGCGGGCGCGCGGCTGAGCTGCCGCCCAGTTGTTGCTGCGCGCGGAGAGGAGCCGAGCGGTGCCGGGGGGGGGGTCATCGGTGGGTAAGTGCCAAGCGGGGGCTTCGGCCCCGCTCCCGGAATAGACGCGCTGAAGTTCTGCGGAAGAAAGGATCCGGCGGTGGGCGTGCTCGGAGCTGCCGCTGTCCGGGGTGCTCCGCTGGGTTACTCGCGAGGAAGCGCTTGCTTTCTGGGAAACGTCCAAGACTCTCAAGGGATCCCGCGGGCGCTGGATTGCAAAGCCGCTCACCGGGGAGAGTGCGGATCCTAATTCGGCGGGGCGTTTCTCCAGTGCAGCTGAGACGGGGAAAGCCGCGCGAGGAAATACAGCTCCGACACCCGGCCATCTCGCCCTGGGGAAAGGCTTTTTGGCTTGACCAGTCCAGCCGGAGTGCGTGAGGGCTTGGCGCTGAAAGAAGGACAAGACCTTTTAAACAAAAAGGTGAGAGGACGCGAGTTTTGCGCGCACGCATACCGACGATTTACGTCCTGTAAAATTGTGTGGATTCAGATGAGCATGAATTCCATGATTAGAAATATCTAATTTGTTTCCTTGGTCACCTTTCAAGGGAGAGCTGCATTTAACTTAGTTATACAATTAACCCTCAATTCTTATGCATTGAGCCCTAGCAAAGGGGTTGGATTTGCAAAAACTACTCTCCCTCAAGAAAACCCGAGTTAGCACTAATCAGCTTACTGTGACTATGCAAGTGGGCCTCCAGTTCTGTCACTGACCTGGGTAGGCTGTGAATTTAACTGGTATTGAGATATAAATGCTCCTGTTTGCACAACTGCAGTCAAATTTGTATATAGAATTATTGAATTACAGAACAGTGTGAGTTGTGGATGGTTAGGTGTGAGACTGGAAATACCCCTCCTTCTCAATCCAGTTTACTTCACAGGATTGTCAAGAAAACAAGTCTCGTTGTATGGTCTGGACTCTGGAATGAGTTTGAGGCAGCAACTTGTGAAGAAGTGGACAGGGCTCTCTGTGCCCTTCAGTCTGGCCACTGGTTTGTTGCACCTAGGATTATTCCTGGATTGTTAGATGTCCAGAGAGGAGATCCATAGTTGGGTCCATGCAGTGGATTGGACAGTGTCTCCAACCTTCCCTTTTTAGAGAAAGTTGTCCAGGGGAATCTAGACCCCTTTCAGCCAAGTTTCAGGCCAGAATTCAATATGCAAACAGCCCTGGTCATGCTTGTTAATGGCCTGTAGTAGACCAGGGATGAAAGTTGTGCAAACAACATTGCATTTCTTGATCAAATACAGGACTATAACAATGGGTTTTGCCAGGGACCTGTAGCCAGCTCTCCCCTCCTTAAAATAAGCAATTTCATCATTCGCACAGCATATTTGTGTAAAGTAGCCTTCCAAAGTTTCTCCCTGCATTCACACTGGAGAGACTTTAGCTCAAAACATGATGAGAAGTTTGTAACTCTTCATTTTCACCAAAAATGGCTGATTTTTAGGGTGGTTTTTTGCCATATCTTCACTTTATGAAAATGGTTTTAATAAATCCCTGTTTCAGGGATACCTGATTGTTAATATGAACTGCTTCAAACTTAAATCACAGAGAAGCTATCCAGTATGTAGAAGGACTACCAGACCTGTTGCAATATCAACAGGATAGTGGGCATGGAGTCACTGTTGAAGCCGCATCCATTTTGTGTACATTCAGGAGCTTGATCACAATGCTGTGCCCGCCATCTTACAGATTCTGACCATCTCCTTTGCCCCATATCCCTGATTAAGTGCTGTACTAACAGAGCATATATGTGCATACAGTATAGCTAGTCCTCGACTTACAACCACAGTTGAATCTAAAATTTACGTTGTTATGGGAAACATTTGTTAAAGGGTTTTGCCCCGTTTTATGACTTTTCTTGCCACAATTAAGTGAACCACTGCAGCTGTTAATGTAGTAACATGGTTGTTAAGTGAATCTGGTTTCCCCAGTAACTTCGCTTGTCAAAAGTTGCAAAAAGGAATCACGTGACCTTGGGACAAGTAGTGATCATAAACATGAACCAGTTGCCAAGCATCTCAATTTTTATCATGTGACTACAGGGATGCTGCAATATTGTAAGTGTAAAAATGGTCATAAGTCCCTTTTTAAAGCAGCATTGTAACTTTGAACGGTCACTAAATGAACTATTGTAAGTCACAGACTACATATATATCACTGTTTCAAGCTTAAAGGAACCATTTTTGTATAAAATGAAGCTTATGTGCTGAACCAATCTGCTGACCAATATTCATATAACAAGACCAAATGGATTGGTGGTGATGATGGTGTCTGTTATTCCTAATAAAAACGACACCATTGGAGGGAATTACATTATGATGCAGATTATTACAAATGATATAAATAATGCTATCGGAATGTAGTTTGTTGCTTGTGAATTCTGTTGTATAGGGATTCATATTTGGAATGAACTAATAATAAATAGTTTTTATTAAGTTTTTACTTTTATCTTATTTTTAGTTTGGAATCTGGGATCGGCAGGATAACAGTTGTCTAGTTTTGCCTTGACCAGTCCAAGAAGGCAAAGATTTTCTGATTGGAAAAAAAAAACCCATCTTCATAGTTTCTTTCTTTGCTATATACCAAATCTCAAATCAGAACCTTCAAGATCTAACAACCTGAAACTTTTAAAAGTTCTCTAATCTTATTACCATACCAAACAACAATATCATAAACCTAAACATCTAAACCTAGACCTGTTCTTTCTTTAGCATCCTGTCAAAGCTTATATTTAATTCTTGGTTTTTTGTTTTGTCAAATAAATTTAGTTATATCTTTCTGTCACTGTTTAAAAAAAATCTTTAATATCGGTATAGTCTGAAATAAAAATAAATAAAAATAATTATGTTAAAATATAGAGGGAGATAAAGTTGGATTTAAATAGATGGAAAAAACTAGATTTGTCATTGATGGGAAGAATTTCAGGAATTAAGATGAATCAGAAGGTGAATAGCACTTTGAAGAAATGCAATGTCTGGCATAAATAATATCTGAAAGAGTAAAGACATCAGGGTCACAACCAAACACAGATTAGTTAACTCAAAATTTTTTCTAATTGGCTGTGAAAGCTGGCCTCTGAAAAAGGTACATAGGAGAAGGATGGATGCCTTTGAACTATGGTGCTGGAGTGACTATTATGCATGGACTGCAAAAATAACAAAGAAGTTGTAGAGACGAACCTCACCAAAAATATCACTTGAAGCCAAGATCATTAAACAGAGGTTATAATACAGCTGTCTCACTCAAAAAGTCAGTCATAACCCTGATGATGATAATTACCTGGAATGTTGTTTTATAGTTTCCCTCTTTGCAATTCACTGGCTGTGTTTGGATCATGCACCCTGATCTCTAAATTACACAACCAACTTTGGCTTCAAAATGTCTGTAAACCCTTCCACCAGGTGTTAGCTTATAATATACATTGCCATGGTTTATGGTGCTATATATTCTAGAAGAACTGAGTTAGTTGAATAAACCAAAATAACTATGGTGAAGTTGGCGACATGACAGTAAGGGTGATTTCTTCCAGCTGGTTAACTTCAGAAGGAGCTAAGCAACTCTGCTTTACTCTGTCTTTGGCTGCTAATGCCAATTTCTTGAACATGAAGCAGAAAAATTAACTAGCCCTGGCAGTTATTATTTTTATTCTTTCCTAAAATATACCTCCTGATTGCAGAGTTTCTATTGAGGTCTCTGTTTAATGGTGTTTAGGAATGACAGGATAGCAGTGTTCCAGTATTTGAGGGGCTACCACAAAGAAGAGATTATTCTCCAAAGTGCCAGAGGGCAGGACAAGAAATAATGGTTGGAAACTAGTCAAAGAGAGAAGCAACCTGGAATTAAGAAGAAACTTCCTAACAGTGAGGGACAATTAACCAGTGGAACAACTTGCCTCCAGAAATTGTGGGCGGTCTATCACTGGAGGTTTTTAAGAAGAGATGGTATAGGTTCTCCTGCTTGAGCAGGGGGCTGGACTAGAAGACCTCAAAGGCCCCTTCCAGCTCTATTCTATTCTAATGCTTTAAAAATATATGATTGAGTAATTGGCTGATGAATAATTTTCAATCTCATTTTTGCGTGATTGTTTTTCTGAGTAGCCAAATTTTCTCAGGGTATAAAATCATGTTATGTTTTGCAATTAAAATACAACATGCTTGTTCCAGAGCTTAGTTCATCATTGCTCCATTTCTTACTATACACCAGTGTTTCTTGACTATTGCAGCTTTAAGATGTGTGGACCTCAACTCTGAGAACTCATAGTCATCAGAGCTGATGGAGAATTCTTGAAGTCCACACCTCTTCAGGTTGCAAAGGTTGAGAAGCATTGTTTCCTACTATTGGTTTGGGTGAGAGTACGACATTCTGGGTGCTTAGGAACTATTGAAATCCCTGGAGTTGAGCAGACAAATCTGAAAAGAGGCAGTTATGGAATGAATGACCTTGGTGTAAATACCACACGTAGTTGTTACTCTGGACAGGACTTAACTGAAGCGGGAAGATAGGATTTCCAAACCGAATGGCAAATGAAGGGATAGCTTACTTTATTTTTAAAGTTTGTGTGCCTCTCTAGTGTCTTAGGAACTATGCATAATCCTTTGACATTTTCAGGGAATGCCTTAATGTCGATTAATAATTTTTTGTTTCTTTTTGCACGGTGTTGTTCAAGGGAAGCTTTTATGAATAATAACTGATTTTATTCCGATTAGTAAAATGACATCTTGATGTGTTAGTAACTGACTATAATGCAAACCAGTTTTCAATGCAAACTATTCTTCTGGAGTTGATTTAAGGGTCGTCATTCTTCCCTTATCTGTAAAGGAAGCCCTTGATCACAACTGAGGCTAGAATTTCCATTGCTAAGCAAGACAGTTAAGTGAGTAGCCCAGATTTTACTATCTTTTTGCCATTATTGTTATGTGAATAACTGCAGTTGTTAAGTGGATTACGTGGTTGTTAAACTAATCCAGTTTCCACTATTGACTTTGCATGTTTCATTCAAGCCCGCTGAGAACATCTCAAATGGCATGATCCCAGGATGCTGCAACCATCATAAATACATGCTAATTGCTAGGTGCCTGAATTTTGATCATGTGACTAGGGATGCTGTGATGCTTGTAAGTCACTTTTTTTCAGTGCTGTTGTAACTTTGAATGTTCACTAAACGAATGTAAGTCGAGGATCACTCGTACTCCTATTTTAATTGGCTAATTATGAGGCATTTCATAATGTAAACATCATCAGTTTTCAGTTTTAAGACCGTCATTTTTGGATGTCCTTATGTGCATTCTTCTAAAGAGGGTTTCCAACAAAAAACGGATTGCTTAACTGGGAAACAGCGAAGTCATACAGCAAACCATTTAAAAACTATGTAAAACCAATTTCATTAATACAAATTAAAATAGTATTAAAATGCTCTGCTATTAAAACTTCTACTTAAAACTGTTCAAACTCAGGAATTAACAATCCCACATTTCCACAATACGCTATGTTAAATATATAGTCTTACTACAATCATCTTCAATTAGGAATATGTGAAATGTAGAAGGAGAAAACAACCAGTTTGGGACAAAGTTATTTTTCTTCTAAATACTGATAAAATGTTAGGCCGTAACACAATGAAGTTAGTATTCATTTGTATACTGAAAAGCAGAAAGCACTTACAAACCTTTAGCTTCTTTCGGCTAAGATCAAGTATATATACGCTCTCCTTGCTTTGACAGGTTTCATTTTGATTAATCAGTCTGGAGCAAGAGGACATGACTGAAATATCTTTTCAGAGGAAATGTTACCAGCTTGACTGTTAGTAACTCCAAAAGTGAGGTTAGCAGATATTATTTGCTTAAATTTTGAATTTGACAAATCATTGTTGAAATAATCTGAGAACGTTTATCAACATGTTCCATTTTAAGGTGTAGCCCAATAGTGTGATGCAATAAAATATGTATTTGTGTATAAGATTTATCACTTTCTACATATCAGCAAATGTCAGTGGCCTGAAACCCTTCTCTGGATTTGGAAGTTAAGCAGGGTCAACCCTGGTTGATATTTGAATGGGAGACTGAGAGGAAGTTGAAAACCTATTCCAGAAGAAGGTGATGCCACATCACTGCATCAATTGCCTCCAGAAGCCTATGATTGAGTTGGTTGCCATGAAAACTACATTATCCTATTCTTGAAGTTACCAAGTTTGACTTGAAAGAGACTTTACCACAGTTTGGAAATTCTGCTGAGAATTCCACAATCCATTGCATTGATTTTTCAGGTGCATTGTTGTGCAGCATGGAGACTTAGGGGAAAAAAAGACACAGATTTTTATTTATTTATTAAATTTTTATCCCACCTTTACTACTTTAATTGCCATTATCCTGTTAAAATGGTAAATATATCTGTAAATGTAGATCCAAAGGTTGATGATTGATTAATCCCAGATCCCATTTTTAATGATGAAAACATGTTAACAGTGGAACGCTTATTCTAAATTTTAGTTTGGTACGGGAACCCAGTGATGGTTCCTTCTTTCCTTTGTAATAAAAGGACTTAAGTAATGGGCACATATCTTTTCCAATATGCTTCCTCCTAAGATACCAAGATATTTAAATTTCATAGGATATTATATTTATTATGGGATGGGGACCTGCTGATTTCCAGGAATGAGATAATGCTTGTTAAACATCTCTTTTCTCTTTTTATTAATCAGATTCCCATGAAGAGCTCAGAGAAAAGCATTTTGAAGTATATGCCCAGCAAAGCTCATCTCATCTCAAGGCTGTTATTCGCCTCCCTTCTGCCTCTGTCTATGAATTTGGTCAGCCATGGCTAGAGAAGTTTATTTATTGCTTCTTTTATTGTTCTGTGGGAGAACAATTTCTGAACGGCAGCCTTTGCCTCAAATGCCTTCTGAAACTCTAGATTTTGGGTATGTTCCCCACAAGATATACAACACCAACGCTTACTATGAGCCTGGAATAATAGGGATTTTGTTCCACATTGTCCACGCTTTCCTCTGCATAGTTCAGCCCAATTATTTCCCTCAAGGTAGGTATATATTAAATATTAATTTGGCTTTGAAAAATACAAGGAGATGCTATCTGAGATGGCAGTTTTGCAAAGCAGTTTTATGTTTTGAGAAAAACTCACTGTGCCAAACCAACAGAAGAGCGGAATGGTTTTCTTGTGAATAGTTTTGGGCTTATATGTGTGTATATGTGTTTTGCTAAATCACCAGAAAGAAGAATGGTGGAAAAGGGTTTAGAAGAAGAAGCCATCGGGCACTTTCCCCCAGAACAAAAACTGTGTTTTGAGGCAAGGTGGTTATGCATCAAAAGTTAATTTTTTCCTCTTTGAGAGATCTGATTTCTGAATAATCTTACTCTCTGATTATTTATTTGTTAAATTTATTTGCCACCTCTCACCATGGGGCTTCCCTAGGTGGCTCTCTTATTTTTGTCTTACCAGGTAGAATAATAATTGGGGATGGCAGAACATCCCCAAAGTGAAGAATTTGGAAATGTCACATGGATGAAATGGGGGATATCATTTCTCTCCATAGATATTTATAGAGGACACAGAGAATGGCCTTGAAGGTCAGGAGAAAGAGTCACTACCAAGTTAGTGATCAAATAAGCGAGGCTTGTATACCTATCCATTTCTTAAAGTGGATATTCAATACTGAATAT